CTCCTTCATATTCGTTTCTGCTCTTTTCTCTTTTTACTTATGTTGATTTCTGGGTGAATTCGTAAGTGTTATTTTTCAATTTACTACTTTTTCTTCTGAAAGCCTAGATCTGTCCCAAGAAACCCCCAAGTTTCTACTTTTTTATCTACTAGTCCTAAATTGGAAAGTTACAAAATGGTACACACCAAATATGGCGCTTTCACCTGGCATCTGCCTTCTAGCTATTGGCTCCCCTCCCTCCTAGCATCTGTGTTACTATTTATACTCTTTCCATTCAAAGATGTGATATGCATGTACAGTATGTGACATTGCATTATATAAGTAATATTTTATATGTATATTTATCTCTCCACATTCCTAATGGTAGCTTACTATAAACTGTGCTCTGCATCTTTCTTCTTTCACTTAAACATTTATCTTGGAAGTTTTTCTGATGGTTTGAGATAATCTTCCTCATTCATTATGATTGAATAGTGTTTCCTTGGGTGAAGGGGCCATAGTCTGTTTAGCCTGTCTTGCATTGATGGGCAGCTTGATATTTAAAATAACGTGCAGTAGTAACCTTGTATTTAAGTTATTATCCATATATGTGAGTGTGTCCTTAAGGATATATACCCAGAAGAGGAACTTCTGGGTCAAAGTCTATGTATATTTTCCAAGAATAAACCCGCACATATACAGTCAGCTAATCTTTGACAAATTTGCTAGGTGTACACAATAAGGAAAGGATACTGTAGTCTCTTCAATGAATCGTGCTGGGAAAACTAGATATTCACATGCAAAAGATTAAATTAGACACTTATCTTACACCATACCCAAATATTACCTTGAAATAAAATATTTAAACATAAGACCTGTAACCATAAAATTCCTAGAAGAAAATGGAAAAATCTCCTTGACATTAGTCTTGGCAATGACTTTTTAAATATGACACCAAAATCACAAGCAAAAATAAATAAGTGGAACCACATCAAACCAAAAAGCTTTTGCACAGCTGAGAAACTTAATAGCAAGAAAACAAATAACTCAACCTAAAAGTTGGCAAAGGTCCTAAACAGACATTTTTTCCAAAGAAGACGTATACATAACCAACAGGCATATTTCCCTAATCATCAGGTAAATGTAAATCAAAACGACAATGATATATCACCTCACAGTTATTAGAATGGCTATTATAAAAGAGATGAAAGGCTAGTGTTGCACAGAGTGGTACATGCCTGTAATCCCAGCTACTTGGGATGCTGAGCAGGAGGACCACTTGAGCCCAGGAATTTGAGACCAGCTTGGCAACATAGCCAGATCCCATATTTTTAAAAAATTTGTTAAAACAAACAAACAAATAAAAATATATAAAGATAAATGTAGGCAAGAATGCAGAGAAAAGGTAACCCTTGTATACTGTTGCTGGGATGTATTGGTATACTCATAATAAAAAACAGTATGGAAGTTCCTTAAGAAATTAAAAATAGAACTACCATATGATTCAGCAATCCCACTTCTGGGTATATATACCCAAAGGAAATGAAATCAGTGTGTTGAAGAGATATTTGCACTTCCATGTTCATTTTATCACTATTCACAAACCAAAATATAAAAACAACCTAAGTGTTCATTGATGGATGAATGAATGTGATTTATACACACACACACACACACACACACACACACACACACACACACACACACGGGGTGGGGGAGAGAGAAAGTGAGAGGGAATGGAATATTATTCAGCCATGAAAAGTAGGAAATTGTGTCATTTGTGGCAACATGAATGAGCCTGGAGGGCATTATGCTAAGTGAAATAAACCAGACACAGATAGATGAATACTGTATGATGTCATTTGTATGTGGAGCCTAAAAAAGTCAAATTTGTAGAAGCAAAGAGTAGAATGGGAGTTGCCAGTGGCTGATAGGCAGAGAGAGTGGGAAAAGGAAGATGCTGGTCAAAAGGTGCAGAGTTTCAGTTATAAGAGGGATAAATTCTGGGGAGCCAATGTAGAGCATGCTGACTACAGTTAGCAATATTGTATTGTATATTTGAAATGTGTTGACAGAGTAGATCTCAAGTGTTCTTACCCGACACACGCATGAACAAAGGTAACTAAGTGAGATGATGAATATGTCAATTAGCTTGATCGTAGTAATTATTTCACAATGTATGTGTGTATAAAATTAATATGCACAACTTAAATATAGAATTTTTGTTTGTTAATTATATCTCAATAAAGTTGGGAAAAAACCCAAAATGTGTCATTTTCCTTGGGAAAAGTTTCAACCAAAGACAAAGGCTGTCATTTTACCACAATGCAGGGCACTGCAGAATCAAAGAAATCTAGTCGCTCTCCCACATATAGATGATCTTGTTTCTCCAACTGGGCTGAAAACCCAAACTGCTATATAACATTGAAATACATAAATATATACCAAAAAGGAGAAACATGTCTTTAAATTACTCAGGTTATCAGGAAAAAAAGCACAAAATATAAAAGTCCCTCCAGTTTGTGGACCCTCAGTGAGAGTATGCTGTATATTCTGGAGAGAAAGACTGAGCCTGCAGAGGTGAAGGCTGGGGAGGGGAACTACACCAGGGCTTTCAGCTGCTTGAGATTGGAACAGCCAGTAACAAGGATGGGCAAAAGTGGGGAGATGGAAAGTGCAAACAGGAGATGTGTCCTGCAAGTTTAAATAAACCAGCTTCAGCCAACAACATGGAAAAACCAACAGAGACCAGGCAGGCAGGAAGGGCCAGAGGGCTTCAAAAAATCAGAATTTGTACTCAAATACATTTTTTTCCTCTTCTCAAAATGTCCATAAGCAGGAGGTACAAGTAAAGTGAATATTCATAACCATACCTACAAATAAAGTGAATGAAATTAGGCATAAAGTGAGAATATATGTCAGAGAATGTTGGATCCTTCTAAATATTGAGGGCCATTATGTGATAGAAATGATTATGTGATAAAGTATGGGAAATAAAGACATTGAGATAGTCTCATCATAAATAAATTATTCTTATGTCATGTTTTAATTTGCATGACATTATTACTTACATTCTTATCTGATCTGGTCTGCAAATATTTCTAATTTCAATCACACTGCAAAAATCAAAAGTTGGCCAGGCGTTGTGGCTCATGCCTAGAGTCCCAGTGCATTGGGAGGCTGAGAAGGGAGGATCCCTTGAGGCCTGAAGTTGGAGACCAGCCTGGGGATGTAGCAAGATCATTGTCTTTAAAAAAAAAAATTAAAAATTAGCTAGATGTGGTGGTGTGGCCTGGAGTCCTAATGGCTCAGGAAGTCAAGGTGGGAAGATGTCTTGAACTAATGAGTTCAAAGCTTCACTGAGCCATGATCATACTAACACATTTCAGCCTGGATGACAGAGAAATATCCTGTCTCAAAAATAAGAATAAAACAAAATAAAAATAAATTAAAAAGTTTTTTCTAAGGAATGATACTTCATTATCATTCAACTTATGAATTCAGCTAGGAAAGAAGGTTATCAACTTGGATGAATGCTGTACTCTTCTGTTAATCCAATGGAAAAATAGACATACTCTTTGGTCATGATAGCTCCAGCTATTATGATCAATTATTTATTTATTTTTTAAAATAACCTTCTGAGCCAGGTGCTGTGGCTTATACCTGTAATCCCAGCAATTTTGGAGGTTGAGGTGGGTGGATCACAAGATCAGGAATTCGAGACCAGCCTGGCCAACATGGTGAATGCCCATCTCTACTATAAATACAAAAATTAGCCTGGCATCGTAGTGCGCGCCTATAATCTCAGCTACTCTAGAGACTGAGGCAAGAGAATTGCTTGAACCCGGGATGCGGAGGTTGCACTGAGCCAATATCATGTCACTGCACTTAAACCTGGGCCACAGAGCAATACTCCATCTCAAATAAATAAATAACCTTCTCTTGACCATACAATCCCATAGCTAAATGATGCTGTGACTTTCACAAACAAAAGCATTTGTCATGCTTGGCGATAACCTAAGAGCCTGTATATACAGTGGAATGAAAATTTTATATTGCAGTATGAAGTCTTGACTACTCATGACTGCACCACTGAAGATGCTTAGAATTCATTAAGATATTATATTAGAGCTGGATAAACCATATTATTAGAGTTAATTCCTGCACAAAAATTATCTTCTTTTTAACCAATTCTGATATTACCTGTCTCCGGCTAGGTTTCTAAGGCTATACTTGTATAACAGACACAGACTCATGTTCAGTCAAATGCCCACCATTATGAAAAGTCTTGATTAAAAAAAAAAAATTCAACAAGAGAAATCCAAGGCTACTAGCTGTTGCTGCAGTCATTGGAACAATAGGATTTCTTTGAATGTTCTCTGTAAAAACTTTTCCCTTTGAACTCTCACAAGGGGTTAACACTGGGTAATTAGCCCCATTATTTTGCCAGGGTGGCATGGGGCTTTCTGGATATCAAAAGTGTCTCCTACTGAACTGTGCCATAGCTGTTGGTGTCTGTTAGCCTCACCAAGCATATGCCAGATAGATAATCTTCATTCTCAGGAAATACCATCGGTAATACACTCGTTGTACTTTCTGTAAATCTCAAAATCCTGACAGGTAAAAAGTTCACACTTAAGCCAAGTGTTTGGAATTCTAAGCCCAATTCCATATAAACATGGTTAAGAGCTTTAAAAAAAAGCCTCTCAACTTACAAAACAGAAATATGCCCAAATAATATCAGGAAGAATGTTCGCATGATTATTTCATTATTGACACACAATTTCCAAGTACTTAGTCTTTTAAAAAATGCATTAGATGAGAAATTTGTAAGCAAATTTGTCTAAAATTAAGGATTCCTTTACTAAGTGAATTATTATTTCTGCATCTTCTTAGTAAATTCTGTGTGTGTGTGTGTGTGTATGTGTGGTGTGTGTGTGTGTGTATGTGTGTGTATACTGGTGGGTTTTTTTTGTCTTGTTGTGTTTTTAGGGTGAGACAGTTATACTTGCTTGGAAAACATGATGCATGCCCCCAGTTTTTCTGGACTGCTCTACAGTAACTGTGGTTCCCAGACTGAGCGGCTAGAGGACGACTGAGACCTGACTCTCGCCCTGCGCCCACGTCCCGACTCCCCACACCCCTGCACCAGTAACGCCCTGCTCCCTTCCCTGCAGTGCCCCGTCCGGCTCCCCGAGGCACCGCAGCGCTGCCCTGCCCTGGTCCGGCTCTGGGCTCTGGGCAGTTGACAGGCGTCGCCCGCGCCGCGCTCCCGGCCCTGATTGGCTCACCGCTGCCCCTCAGGCTATCCCTATTGGCTGCCAGCGATCTCTCCGCGCCCGCCGGTTGGCCGTTCAGCCGTTGCCCTGGCGACGCGGATGTTGTGGTTCCGTGGCGCGCCGGGAGTTGGGTTGGTTGGCTACAGCCCTCCAGCCCTGTAAAAACTGCAAACCCGGACGCCGCGGGCAGCACCCACGGAGACCCGCGGGGAGCTGGTGAGCCTGAGGGCAATGGGGGTGTCCACTGGGGCCTTGTCCTTGTCCACTGTGCGGAGCTCGCGGTGCGGGCAGTGCGCCCCGGGGCCGGAGGGAGGGGACCATCTCGTCGCCGGGTTGGGATGAGCACAGGGCGGGATCTCCCAGCCAGCCCAAGTCCCGCGGCCCTTGGTTACCTGCTGTTTACCCTCTCTGTGTGCACCCGCTGAGCACCTGGCGTGGTCTTGCCTGTACTGGATAGCCAGCGTGACGTGCCCCCTACTGTGTGCTCCGCACGCACGGATCTCTGCTGAATACCCCGCGTGTATGTGCCCCTGCTGTGTACCTGGAGTGCGTACGCCCCTGCTGTGTACTCTGTGTGGACGTGCCCTGCTGTATGCCGCCGTGATGTGCTCCTTTCTGTTTACCTGGCGTGAGCATGCCCCCCTGCCCCATGCCCTGCATGGACGTGCCAGCGCTTGGCCATCGTAAGGTGCCTGCAGGCGTGTCAGGTGGAGGCGGACAGACCGACCGAGCGGGGGCGCGCGGATTTTACTTTTGCAGCTGCAGCTCCTGGCAGCGGGTCAGGCCTGCATTGCCCAGCGCACCCGCGAACACCAGGTCCGGCAGCATCTGTCTCTTCCCGCAGCGTGCAGCGCCCAACCATGAGGAACACCAGCAAGGAACTGCAGGGCGCCACGCACCGCTACGCTCCCTGCGGTGAGTGCGCCCTCAGCGCGTCCTGGCCAGAAAGAGCAGGGCTGCTTGCACTCTGCTTGCTAGACGCACTGTGGATCCATTGTCCTCTATGTGGGCGGGAGGGGGGTGTGAACTGCAGGGGTAGAGGACCAAGTGATAAAACTAACAAGTCAAAGAAAGCCACGAGCTGCTCCTGTGCCTGAGTGTGAAATCAAGACTTAAAGAGAAATATGAGTCGGGGAAGTCTTGTTTGTTTTTTTTAAATCTTCAACAAGAACCAAGGCTACCCACCTTGGTTCAATCTGGAGCAATAGGATCCCTTGGAAGTTTTCTCTGTCATAGTTCAACCCTATGCAACTCTCACAACTGCGTTCCTGAATGTTGGCTTGGGAAGTTTCTTTTCTAGCAGAATAACCTCGGTATTTCAGTGAATCCCTAGTCCTTGCTCATACTTTAGACCCCAAACAAGTTAAATATATGTTCTGGTTTCAGGGTCTGGTTACAGGAAAAGGAATTCAGTGAGCTTCATGTCTTCTTATGTGGTAGGGTGTGAAGTGGAGGAGAGGGGAAGGAAAAAAGTCTTGAGAGGCTGTCTTCTTCTTCTTCTTTTTTTTTTTTTTTTTTAATTTTATTTGTGAAAGGCTGTAAGAGGGTAGAGAAGAGGGTCCTGGAAGTCAACTGGGACAGCGGAGGTGGAGCTGGTCGGCACTCTGGAGCCAGCACATCTGCTCAGAAGTGAACCAAATGTAGCCCTTCTTCATACTCTAAACAAGCTTCTATCCCAGAGCTCTACCTTGGGACCACTGTTGGAGACAGTGTGGCCATGCTGGGGACTGAGAAAGGGACAGCACAGAAGTCTGGCTGATTTGCCTTCTCCCAATGGGCTCTGGAGCCTTCATGTGATTTCTTGGTGCCTTCTAGTGGCCTTGTCTCTATGATCAGCACTAAGGAACACTAACAACTGCCAGGCACTGTTCTTAGTGCTTTGTATTATACACTAATTCATTTAACCTCATAACAGCCCTACGAGGGAACATTACCCCCATTTTATAGAGTTTGGAGTAAGTTGCCCAAGGTTATACACTTAGTAAGTGGCTCTGCAGCTGTTCTGTAAGGTCACAGCAGCCTAAAGCAGGAACCTGTGCTCCTGTGGGTAGGTGAGCATATAACACACTTCCTTGTGCCTTAGAGACCAGGAGAGCTGGGGGATCTTCAGTTCATCCCATAGACTGTCACAGACTGTGTTTCCTCACTGATAAAATAAGGGTACTAATATTTGACAAATGAGAAGGCAGGGAAGGCTACATAAAAAAAATCTATAGGATAGTAAATGATTGATATTGTACAAGTACCAATGATTTTTTGCATGATAAAAGCTGAGATAACTCATAGTCTCTTTAACCCTCTCTCTCTCTTTGTGTGTGTGTGTGTGTGTGTGTGTGTGTGTGTGTGTGTGTGTGGTGGTCACAGTTGGTTCTTACTGATCTGAGCCCTTGCTCTCTGAGTGCTTTCTTTGTATGCATTCATAAATGGCCAACCAGATTCGAGTTCAGTGCCTGTCCACAGCTTCCAGTAATGAGAAGAAGGCAGAAGACACACTGTTCTCTGTGGATTAATTAGTAATCAAAACAGAGAGAGAAAAAAATAAAGCAACAATCAAATGCCTTCTCTCTAAAAGAAAATATCTGAACTGAATAGGGTCAGAGTATGAAGCTGCTAAATTCTCTTATTTATTTTTAAAATGATTCTCTATGATCTTTTGTGTAAGCCTTTAAACTTTTCCAATCTTTCTTTTCTTTCCTTTTCAAAACCATAGAGTGTTGATTCAGCTATTTAGTGTCCTTTAGCTACCTAAAAGATTGTCTGCATTAAAACCCATCCATTAAAAATTTGATGTCTAATCTTTTAGCTTTAAAGGATGGTTTCTTCTTACTTCTCTGTGCTTACATGAATCAATTTATTCAGTACTATTTTCCTGTGCATCTACTGTATTAGTCAGCATTCTCCAGGCAATATAACCAAGCATACCCATGTCTATCTATGTACATACACATATATACATAGATAGATAGATAGATAGATAGATAGATAGATAGATTGATTGATTGATTATATACATATAGATGTATAAGATCTCCATATTAATGATAATGCTGGTCAGCTGTGCCTGAATTCCAGAGGGAGGAGGGTAAAAGGAGCCTGTCCAACCTCCTTCCTGTTATGGCCTAAACTAGTTTTTCAAGTTTACTTTGGAATACAGTTGGTTGAGTGGGGGCTTTCATTCAGTCAGTTGGGGGGCTTAGAATTTTACTTTTGGTTTACTCTGATTGGAGAAAGCCCATGCACATTATAGAGGACAATCTACTTCACTCAAATTCTACTCTTTTACATGTTATTTTCATCTAAAAAAATCTTCATAGACACAACTAAAATAATGCTGTGCCAATATCTGGGTACCATGGACCAGCCAAGTTTACACATAAAATTAGACATTGTAACCACCCAAGAAGTGGGTATTATGTTAGATTCTGAACATACTGACCCTGTGACAGTCCATTCTGATAAGTGTTATTGCATACACCCAGTCATAGTGTCACATTAATTGCATCTTTCATATCTTACATTCTTCCTGGGTTTTGTTTCTAAAGTTTTCAATCAGGTGTGATATTTTTTCTTATATTTGGGCATTTGGTTAGTCAATATCAGCTTCAAATAGTTACCTAGAACCCCAGTTGTCTGAGTGCCCCAGATCTCTTCTCTCTGTGGAGTCATCAATAAACACTGATACCTCCAGGTCTCTGGAGGGATTTTGCCAACTTACTTGACAGAAGCTCCCGTAGGACTCCAGGGCATCTCCTGGGTGGTTCCAAGCCAGCCTGCAGGGCCTGTCCTGGATGCCCTCAGTTCAAGGCCTTAGGGAGCCTCATGGCTTCACCAGGGCCACGTGAACTCCTCTGTCCACAGCCCCTTTCTGCATGGACTCCAATCAGGAAAGGAGGAGGGACAGAGAACAGCTCTCCTCCTCCACTCCATTGTGTCTGGCTTCTTCTTTGTGGGTCCTTTCATAACAGAGGTCATGCAGTCTACACTTGCTGTATTTCAATGTGATCTTTCTCAAGGGAGCCAAACACAGTCACCTTAGAAATCTCTGACTCTCCAGCTGAGAACTTTTTCCATAATACGTGGTCACCTGTTTCCAACACTTTTCAGGAACCATCTAGACTTCTGGTCACCTTTCACTGTCCTCTTTGGCCTCATGCATAAGCAAAGCCATTATTATTGAAAACAGTAATTATACAATAATAATAATGAAAGGGACAAAAAAAAAGAGGGAGAGGGAGAGTGGTAAGGTGAGATGAACTCTCACCTGGGGACTCTGGGTGGAGGGAATATGGGAACTCATGCTGTACTGACTCATGTGGAGAGAAGCCTCTGAGCTGATTCAAGCACCCTTGCTCGGTGGCGGGGCCGCTGACCACTCCCTAGTCCTGCCTCTTCTCACTCTTGTGCTATTGGTAAATGTGTTCAAACAGGCTATTTCTGTGACAGGACTTAGATTTCAGTATTTTTGACATACTAAATTTAGCAAATCTTGGTCAACATTTAGCCATGTATTCCACAGGCTTACCCATAATGTTTTAAGTGATTTGGGATTTTTCAGGAATGAATATTCCCCAACATAACCAAAAATACAGTTGTCTTATTTTTATGGAGGATTAGGAGAGAGAGACAGAGACATAATGGGCCTTGGGTACCTTCCTGGGTACCCAATGAAAGAGGCTGAGTTCTCGCAGCTTTCCCCTCGGTTGGTGCCAGTGGTGGCATCTTGGTGGGCAGTACAGACTGGGTGGCATGGCTGGTGTTATGAAGAGGGCATTCTCTTCCTTGCTAATGGGCTCTGTGGCCTGCACTGTCCTGGCGGTGTTGTCTGCATAGAGACACTCTGACACACAGCAGCAGCATGGCCCCGCCCCCTCCTCTATAGATTGGTATTACCATGTCCCAGTGAAGCGCTCTGAGAAGGCCGTGGATGCCCCGCCAGCGTCCCAGATCCCAGGTCTCAGCAATTTGGGAGACTCACACAGCGGGAACTTGCCTGGGACTCGGAGACACTGGATAAAAGAAACAGATTCTGAATACGTGAAGCTCGCGAAACAAGGCGGCAGGCCCGGTGAGCCCCCCGCGCGGAGCCTCCTGCCCTGTTCAGGGTGGCAGCCCCTCGGGCAGTGAGGGGGGGATTTGTACCTAATTCCTTCCATATAAAAATATTACCACAGAGTCCATACGTTTCACTTAGGGCCTTTGGAAATTTGAGTTAATTAAGTCGGTGTAGTGATGGGCATGATCTCCAGGGATGAGCCAATTTTTATGATGTTAGAATACATAGGCCAAATTCACACGGAATTGCCTGTGTAGGATATTTCTTCGGAGTAATGCCTTTGCGATAATTCAGCCCTTACCTCACCCATGTTATATTCTTATTACAAAGAGAAATTCAGGAAGTTCCTGGCTTCTTGAGATTCTTGGCTAATTTATGAAAAGGTTTTGTTTCCTGTTGTTTACTCTCACTGTGGCTTGTCCTTTGTATGAAAACATTTGAGATGATGAAAACCATAGATGAATTTCAGTGGTGATGTTGAGGAGGGTCAAATTTTGATACAGGATTTAATTGAGAAAGTACTGCTTAACCATGCTAAAAAGTAAGACATTTGAGCTCAATAGAAACTACTGACCAGATGGTGAGAGATCACATCTAAAATGTCTCAGAGCCAGCCTTGGGGTCAGTGACTTGCAGAGACACTAACTTCTTTGTCCTTCTGGCTGTCATTACCCCTGTGGGGATGGTCAGAGAGAAAACGGGAAGCAAAATGGTGAAATCTTTGCTTTAATATTAAAAAGCCTGGACCAAACAATTTAATGGACTAGGTGTGAAGCTCAGAGAACAAGACTTAGACTTTTTTTTAGATATACCTCCTGCTGTTGGTTAAAAGAACATTAAGGGGACACACTTGAAATGTCTGTAAATCAGATAAGAGAACTGCATCAACAGCAATTTCCTGATTGTGATCGTTGTGCCATGATTATGTCAGGAATGTCCTTTAGCAACATTCCCTGGGGTGTAGGGGGATGACTGGGCACTGTGTCTGCAACACGCTGCCCAATCATTCTGAAAACGGTAATGACAACAAAATGATAAAAAGAGAGAACACATAAAGCAAATGTGGTAAAATATCATTTGGGGAGCCTAGGTGCAGGGTATAGGGGAATTCATACTATTCTTGCAATGTTTCTGTAAGTCCAAAACATTTAACAATGAAAAATGTTTTAAAAGTAAAAAAAAAAAAAAAAAAAGGAAATTTAAAATGTTCTGAACAACAACAACAAAAAGGCTGGGTGTGGTGGCTCAGGCCTGTAATCCCAGCACTTCGGGAGGCTGAGGTGGGTGGATCACCCGAGGTCAGGAGTCCCCGAGACCAGCCTGACCACCATGGAGAAACTCCGTCTCTACCAAAAATAAAAAATTAGCTGATTGTGGTGGTGTGCACCTGTAATCCCAGCTACTTGGGAGGCTGAGGCAGGAGAATCACTTTAACCTAGGAGGCAGAGGTTGCAGAGAGGTGGAGGTTGCAGTGAGCAGAGATCATACCATTGCACTCCAGCCTTGGCAACAAGAGTGGAATGCCATCTCAAAAAAAAAATGTCTTACTGATGGTAATAGGTCAACCAAAGTTGCCTGCTGCTGCCACGGGCACTGTTATCATTTTGCTGTCCTTATTATCAGGAAAATCAGTTCTTCCAACTCCCTGCCTTTTGACACCAGGGGAGGGAAGTGTGGGGAGCTAGAAAGTAAGTGGGTGAGCCGGGAGCTGGCCTGGGCCTCTTAGAAGAGCCTGTGTTCTCTGTGCTTCTCGGGGTTGGCTCCAAGGTGGCTGTGAAATCTCCCAGGTACCTATCAGGGCCTTGTATCCTACTTCCCATCTGGAAACCTGGAGGGGATGGCTTCTCCTGGAAATGGTAGGGGTGGGGTTAGGGACAGTTCCACAGTGGCAAAGGACAGTCAGGCTGTCCTATGCTTGGAGAATGGTGTGGGGGTAGCTGAGGATGACGGATCCAGCATGTGCAGCCCCCGGAGACCTGAGCTGCGGAGGGATGGGCCCTCTCCAGGAACTGGTCTTTGTCCAGATCCGCAAAGAGTGAGATGGGGGGAGGCATACAGGATGCCCCTGCCTGAGCACAAAGCAGGACATCCACCCGTCAGCCTGTGCAGAGACAGGTGAGGATCAGGGATGCTCTGTTAGCCCCTGGATCCCAGAGGCAACCCCAGGGAGACCCACAGTTCCCCTTGTACATTGAGCCCATCGCTGGCAATGCTGTGTGTCTGTGTAGGGGCGGTGGAGTGTCTCACAGCCATGTCATTTTCTCTTTGAGATTTGTTGAAGCACTTTGCCCCTGGGACCAGGAAAGGCTCCCCGGTGACCTACTCCCTGCCAGACTGGTATATCCACCACAGCAAGCCACCGACAGCCAGCCAGCGAGAGTAAGTATCTTAAAGCACTCATGTTTTTGTTTAGCTTTACAGGAAAGAAAATAGCCCAATCCTGATAGCAAGCATGTGGTGTGACAGCTTCGGGCCCTCTTTTACAAAAGCCTGCTCTTTGGGGGACGTAGCCTAGGTGGTCATAAAACCTGGGTTCTGAAAACCTGTGACATCTTGTGCCGCCCTAGAACCTTGTGTCTTTGGGCTCCTTCTCAGTAAATGGCACTGCAGGACTGACCACGTCCGCTTATCATAGAAATAATCCATCCCAAAGGGTTCTTGTTAAAGACAAAAGGCAGTGCCTAACAAGCTAGAAATACATGAAATCCTAAGTTTCTATGCTCATTACTGAGTTATGGGGAGTGAATGTTCCCATAATATTTGAAATGTCTTAGAAATTCCTATTTGTGGCTATGTAAACTTTATCTCCAAAACCGCCTCTCTTGGATTGAGAAGTAAAATTAAAAAATCATTTCAGGTCATTTCCCCATTTTTTTGGCTTGAAAATAGGACCACCATAGATATATCCAGGCTGTCATCCAGTGTTATTTGAATGTTCTGCCATGGTCACAATGCATCTTTTGTCTTCAGGCTTCTGGTTTCCCTGTTGTTTAAAATGAATGTGTGTGGTGGCTCATGCCTATAATCCCAGCACTTTGGGAGGCTGAGGCAAGTGGATCACCTGAGGTCAAGAGTTCAAGACCAGCCTGACCAATATGGTGAAACCCTGTCTTTATTAAAAATACAAATTTAGCTTGGCATGGTGGTGTGCACCTATAGTCCCAGCTACTTGGGATGCTGAAACCGGAGAATTGCTTAAACCTGGGAGGTGGAGGTTGCAATGAGCCAAGATCTGGCCTAAGCAACAGAGCAAGACTCCATCTCAAAAAAAAAAGGATACTCTGTGCTAACAGGTTACATCAAAGTGGATGAGCTGAGCAAGAAGAGACAGGCTTAGAAGGGGAAGCAGGAGACTGGGGACACTCCTGCAATGCTGCCTGTGCTTGCAGGAACAGAGCAGGTCAGGCAGCCTGAGGTGAGGGTAGGACCCGAGTATCCCAGGCAGATGTGCAGGGATGGGTTTCCTGAGTGCCCTTGACCCTGAGCTCTGACTGAGGGATGCCCAGTGGGCCGGGACTCTAAGCAGCTGTGCATCTTCTTGCAGCCGACGACGGCTCCTGCCCTATCTGGGTGTCCTGAATCGACAGTCAATTCTGGGGGTGGTAGGGATACCTCATGTCTCTGGGGTGCTCCTGGAGAGCCTTATCTCAGGCATGCCCCTTCCTCCCATACCCACACTGCCACATGGACTTTTTCTTCCCTTCTTTCTGCTTTTTTCTTCCAGTCTGCTTGTACCACTGTTCCTTTGCTGTTGCCTCCCACCCCATATGTCCTTACCAATTATCCAAGCCTCCTAGTGATGATCTATTTCTGGGGCCTTCAGTGTGTTCCCTCCTCCTGGGACCTTGTCCTCCTCTGGACTGCAGACCACCTGCTCCAGGTCCCAGGACAGACAAAGGATGTGAACAGTGGGAACTGCAGGAGAAATCCTTCCTTCACTGAAAATCTGGGAACCTAGGAGCTACAACTTAACACTGCTTTTTTTTAAATTGTCCCTCCTTTGTTGTTTTCAATGCTCATCTGTCTCTGCAGGCTTTTTCCTGCCCTCAGACCATATCAAAAGTGAGAGGGCCAGGGAGAGGCACTGTTCCTCACACCTGTGCTCCCTGAGCAGCTCAGCCACGCTCCCGGCTTCTCTTACTGGGTATCTGCGACCACCTCCCAAGCCTGCATGCCCAGCCTCTGACTGCTGCTCCCTGGTCTCCTTGCTTGCTCTCTCAGAGGCTCCCAGCTGCCTCCTTCAGGTGCCTTACTGCAGTGGTGCCCAGGACCCCACTCCTCGGCCCTGCCCCTGACGCCCAGTCTGTAGCTGGGCCTCTTCTCAGCCTCCTGGAGCCCTGAACAAGTGCAAAAGAGGAACAGGACATGAGGGCACCCCTGCAGCCCCTCAGACACTGTGTGAGGGCCTGTGTGCTGCCATGTGAAGTTTGAATCCGGTGTTCTTCCTTGTTCAAACCTGGTTATGTGTACAGATGGCACCTTCAGGGATCTAAAGGGTAAAGCATTCCAGTGCCGCTGGGTGCCCCTCCTGTACATGCTGTGTGTATGGGAAGACTGGTTGCTAGTCATTAAACATGATCATCCAACAGGAAACAGAGACTGTTTTTATTATTTTAAATGATCATGTTAAATGGTAAATGTTTAGGAGTATACAGCTGTTTTAAGAAGTCAAACTAGTAGATGCTATTCTACAAGAAAGAATTATTTCATAAGGTATGTTTTATAAATTCATATTTTAGTATATCTTGTTTTACTAATGTTGAGACCTTGTGATTTCGGAGTGGGCCTCCTGATCCTGTTTAGCAGGCACAGGAGGGAGGGCCCGTCTGTGTTTTCAAAGAGGATGGGTGGTGCTTATGTCAAAGAGATGGAAGAGAAAAGAATAAGGGAGGGAGAGAAAGAAAAAGAGAGGAAAAGAAGAAGAAGAGGGAAAGAGAAAAAGAAAGAGAGCAAGAGAGGGAGACAGAGGGAAAGAGAGAGGAGAAAGGAAAGGAGGGGGGCAGTGAGAGAGGGAGGGAGACAGAAGGAGAGAGGGGGCGGGACAGCCAGTGATGGGAGGTGGAAGGAAGGGAGGGAGGAAGGAAGGGAGGGAGCAGGAGTGGCTCTGAGCACCAGGCTGTAACTGCTGTCTGTCCCTACAGAGTCCCAGTCATCTCCATGCCGGATTACATGGTTCATGAAGAATTTAACCCCGATCAGGCCAACGGTAGCTATGCATCCAGAAGAGGGCCTTTCGACTTCGACATGAAAACATTTTGGCAAAGAGAGGCTGAGGAACTTGAAAAGGAGAAAAAAAAGGTGACGGGAGCCCATAAATAGACGACATCCGCATCCGCTTTACTTCTGTGGCCCCGAGTAATTAAGTGCTGTGATGTTAGCTGCCAGTGGCGTCTTAAGTGGCCCGTGGCATCGGCCATGTGCTCTGTATTTTAAGTTTGGATCTACTAAAAGGCAAGCGGCCACCATACTATGTCTTTCTTTTTCTTTTTATGAATAATGACTTTAAGAGGTAAGATTCCTTTTTGCCGAATGATTTATAGATCGTTAATGCTTATCTAGAGGGAAACTGGCATAGCGCTGCTTATCTGGCAAACATAGAAAAGGAATTTTATATTTAGTCATCCCATTTCTGAATATTTTCATTTATTTAAGTATTAAGTCAAAAGTTTTCTGAAATACTCTTTGTTGATAATAAAGGAAGAGAAGATGAGCTCTCTTCTTCTGTACAAACTCCTGGTGGTGTATTTGACCACAAAGTGACTGGCCGTACAGTGAAGCCTTTTCAGAGGACGTGTATTTTAAGAGGGCAATGGAGAAAGTGGCAAGCAATCTTGAACTTGCAGCTCTGCTGCTGGGAAGTCTTAATTGGAGGCCCTTCCATCCCCTTTCCTTAGTGCTGGAAGGAATAAGAGCCAGGCCTCCAGCCCCGCCCGAGGGCTCCGTGTTGCCCAGGACATCAGCACCAGGTCTCAGATTAGTCTCAGTTCTTGTGACATTGGGTTTTGCGAGTGAAACCGTGAAATTCACATTACAAATAACAACAGTGTTTGATACTGAGAATAAGAGTGAACACCATTGTCACCCGATGGGTCACATTTTGAACAGTGAAGAGCCTGGATGTGTCTCAGCATAGGCGGAAGTTGTTGTTGTGAACTATCTATGCCAGATAACTAGACTGTTGCCTCCGTGTCTTGGTTTGAAGGGAACCCCTCAGTTTATTTTGGGGACTTGAGTAGCTGAACACTGAGTGAAATGGCAACTGGCTGCAATGGGCCACATGCTTTTTCTTTAAGATCTCCTCCATGTCCAGCTGTGATTCAGACTTTGGGTTGTTTCCATGATCCATACAAAGGCACTGGACCTTTTATGTTGTTTTTCATTTTTTTTTTTTTTTTTTTTTTTTTTTTTTTTTTTTTTTTTTTTTTTAGTTAGAGAGAAATTCTTGCTGTGTCACACAGGCTGGGGTGCAGCAGCATTATCATAGCTCACTACACCCTCAAACTCCTGGGCTCAAGGGCTCCTCCTGCCACAGCATCCTGAGTGGCTGGGTGTGCATGCCACCACACTTGGTCGAAATGGACCATGTTAAGATTCAGAGCCATTTCTTAGTGATGTGCAGGTGGCAATTACCCTGAGCTACAACCTCCAGTGAGAAATGAACCTCTGGATATTAACCATGGTTACAGCTCATATCTAGAGAAATCTTAAAATGCTAAATACTGTGCCACTCCCAAATCAAGGGGTTTTTAAGTTAGTACCCATTTACAGAAGCTGTGCTAGGAGCTGCACAAAGTTCCTAAAGCCAGCCCCGCACTATGGGGAAGGAGATAAGGTGACAAGGCATGGTGGTTAAAGACACACATGCTGAATATTTAACAGCTAGAGGGACATGGTGTTGGGTAAGGTGCAGGGGATAAGCACCACATTGGGATGGGCTCTGATTGTCCTAATAAGATACACCATCACTACTTTGGTAGGAAGCTCACCTATGAGTGGTGATCACATCCTGGGAGTGGACCAGCGGACAACGTGCTTCTTCAGCTGTGCCCTGGCCCCACACGGGGCACATGGTGGACACTTGACAAGACTTAGGGCACATGTGTTGGCTGTTGGTTACCCGCATTCATGGGGGCCTTGCTCACCTACAGGGTGATCGGGGGACCTTGTTTCCTCTTTTTGAATAGCCATCTTTTCTTCTTGTAATTGTTAGCAATACCTCCATGGATTTTGTTTGCTTGCCTTTGTCTTTTCCAGTTTTCCCATAGCATTTATTTCTATGTTTCTATTTCTTTCAAAAAGATACAATTTACAAAGAGGGAAACCCACCTTTGATAGAGAACGGCTCTCCAGGTTTTGACTAACGCGTCCCTTATGTACCACCACAGCTGTCAAGGAACATAGCAGTTCTTTCACCCCCAGCATTTATACGCCCCTTTGCAGTCAGCCCCTCACCAGCCCCTTGCAAGCCGTGATCTGTTTTCAGTCTTATAGTTCTTCCTGACAGAGCAAAAGCATCGCCATCTTGGACAAGTCTCTTGTTCTAAAAGTTCACCTTAATAAAAATTGTCTAAATCCAAGGGGCATCAACCTAAGGGCTACAGTCAACCTGACCGTGAACCACAGACCACATCTCCAACCAGAAACATTCCAAACTCCTCCCTGACCAGAGACACGACCCTAAATAAGCCCCCTCCAGCAGGGAAGATGCCAACCCTGAGATAACCCTCTCCAGGCTGAAAGATATCTGTCCCAAAATAACCTCCCCTTCTCCCAGAGAGATTCCAACCCCACCATGAACTTCTCCACACATGTAAACTTTCCAAGCTTCTGATAAGCCCCCTCACCCTAAAACCGATATATACTCTTCGTAAGAGAGAAATGCTCCTGACCGCAATCAGCTAAGAATGCCTTTCAGGTTTTAACTAAAGAAAAACCGTCTTTGACTGCCAAGCCACGTTTCATATTTCTTTCCTCTTTCTTTAACTCTTATAGTTCCTTTTCCAGAATGGGAAATCAATGGAAACATACGGCGTGGAGTCTTTCCTGCTTGGCTTCTGCCATGTGTTGTAATACATTTACATTATGCGTTTACATTACATACACATGGCCATGCTGTTCTGAGTATCAGTAGTTCATTCATTTCTATTGCTGAGTTTCATTGGCTGATCATGATGCAATTTGTTTATCCATTCATTTGTTGGTGGACATCTGGGTTTTTTCCAGTTCTGGGTGATTATTATAAAAGCATACAGGTGCTTTTGTGCACATATGTTTTCATCCGGGTGTGGGAAGTTCCTTCAGGACCAGGATCTTAGTTCTTCGTTGTTTTTCCTACTAAGCAGATGGCATCTTTACTCGAATATAGCATCTGCTTTTAAGTTACTGACCGTCCCTTTTACATAACTATTTTGTTGAATGGGATTATTCCTAATTTATATTTTATTATGACCATTTACAATGACCACATTGAGAGTCCAGCCCTATGAGCTTTGTACCTTTGCTACCGTTGGTGAGTTTTCTTCTCTAGCTATTGAATGCTTTCCACTAACTCAGGGTTTTGTGTGTTTCCCCACACAGCTGAGGCTACCAGCCATTAACTCAAAGTATCTGAGCAAAGCAGGCACCCCACTTGGCCCTAAGGACCCCACAGGAAGTAGACTCTCCTTTCCCCCCATGTAAGTGCTCAAGCTACTCCCCCACTGTCTGCTCTGGGTTTGGGTTTGGCCTTCCATCTTTCATCCAGTGATGGCTGCGCCAGTGACAGCATCTACACAGCTTCCCGAAGCCCTGCCCACAGGCTGGCTTGGCTGAGCCCGCCACCTCCTCGCTGTAGTTTCCGTTCCTTTCTAATGTCATTTTACCCCTGTTGCGCACATCTTCCCTTCCAGGTCATGCTTGCTGCAGGTTGGCAGTGTGAAGGCCCTGCTTCTCCATCAGGCTGTGCCCTGCCTGAAGCCCCTGCTGCAATATCACCCTCACCACAGTTCGAGGGGGCTGCTTGTCCTGCACGTAGGGCCGATCAGGTCCTGACATTTCTGTGTCCAAGGCCTGAACTCAGGCGTCCATGCCTTGTAAGCTCGCTAGCTCTGTTTCCAGTTGGAAGATACAGCAGGCACGTTGACATTTGCTGATCCTCCAGCTGGAGAGTGAAACCCCTGAGGCCTTAGGTGTCTTCTTACTCTCCCAGAATCCAAGTTTAATGCTAGGATAAATGTTATTAATTACCTGACTAATTCTTCCAACGGCTTCTTGTCCAGTGGGGGAGAAACAGATACATTGTATTGTGACAAATGTCATGAGAGCACCAAACTCAGGCTGATAGAGAAGGAAATACATATGTATTCTGTGTTTATAGATATGTAAGTATATGTGTATACATTGACATGTCTTTATAGATGCACAAGGGAGAGAAAATGAAACATTAGGAGTAGCCATGATAACAAAGTGATTGAACCCCTCCTGGGTTCAAGAAATCCTCCCACCTCAGCCTCTCAAGTAGCTGGGGCTATATGCATGCACCACCACAGCCAGCTAATTTTTTATTTTTTGTAGAGACAGGGTCTCCCTACGTTGCTCAGGCTGGTATCAAACTCCTGGGCTCAAACGATCCTCCTGCCCGTGTCTCTCAAAGTGCTGAGATGGAGGCTCAGAGAGAACAGGTGGTGTGTTGCAACTGCTTGAGCTGAAAGCTCACACTGCCTCTACTGTGTCAGACTGCCCTGTCACTCTTCGGTGTGGGTCAGGATAAGATCTGTGAAGATGCAGTAGACAGTGTCACTCTTCGGTGTGGGTCAGGATAAGATCTGTGAAGATGCAGTAGATGGTGAAAGGCTAAGCTAACGTCAGGAAATGACTGGAGACAAAGCTATGTTCAGAGAGTAAAATAGCAGCAGATAATCTTTGACAAGGACAAGAAAGAACCAATAAGAACAATTGGTTCTTATTTCTCTTTATTTGCGATGCAGTCTCGCTCTGTTGCCCAGGCTGGAGTGCAGCGGTGACATCTCAGCTCACTATAGCCTCCGCTTCCTGGGTTCAAGTGATTCTCCTGCCTCAGCCTCCTGAGTAGTGGGAGTATAGGTGCTCACCACCACAGCTGGAGAGTTTTGTACTTTTAGTAGAGATGGGGTTTCATCATGTTGGCCAGACTGGTCTCGAATTCCTGGCCTCAAGTGATCCACACACCTGGACTTCCCAAAGTGCTGGGATTACAGTTGTGAGCTACTGTACCCAGCCCCCCACTTTTTTTTTTTTTTTTTTTTGAGACAAAGTCTTGCTCTGTCACCCAGCCTGGAATGCAGTAGCTCGATCTCGGCTCGTTGCAACCTCTTTCTCCTGGGTTCAAGCGATTCTCCTGCCTCAGGCTCCCTAGCAGCTGGGACGACAGGCGCACGCCACTATGCTCAGCTGATTTTTGTATTTTTAGTTGAGACAGGGTTTCACCATGCTGGCCAGGATGGTCTCCATCTCTTGACCTTGTGATCCACCCACCTCGACCTCCCAAAGTGCTGGGATTACAGGCGTGACCCACTGCCCCAGTGGTGTTTTTATTTTTATTTTTTTAAAGGTAGTTCT